CAAGTCAAGTCAAATTTTATTTATAGAGCACATTTAAAATAACCAAAGTTGCCAAAAGTGCTGTAGAGGTAAAAATAAACATGAAAAGTGAACAATTTACATTCATATGTATGATTTTAATGTAAAATAAAGCGGTAAAAAGGTAAAAAAAGTTTTTTAAAAAAGGTAAAAAGGTAAAAAATGTTTTAAAAAAAAGTAAAAAGGTGCTCTACTTAAACCCTAAAGTTAAAACAAGTCAAGTCAAATTTTATTTATAGAGCACATTTAAAATAACCGAAGTTGCCAAAAGTGCTGTAGAGGTAAAAATAAACACAAAATCAAACAATTTACATAAATAAATGTGATTTGAATGTAAAATAAAGAGGTAAAAAGGTAAAAAAAGGTTTTTAAAAAAGGTAAAAAGGTAAAAAATGTTTTAAAAAAAGGTTAAAAGGTGCTCTACCTCAACCCTAAAGTTAAAACAACAAGTCAAGTCAAATTTTATTTATAGAGCACATTTAAAATAACCAAAGTTGCCAAAGTGCTGTACAAGTAAAAATAAACATAAAAACAAACATAATTTCCATACATATGTGATTTTAATGTGAAAATAAAGAGGTAAAAAGGTAAAAAAATGTTTTTAAATAAAGGTAAAAAGGTGCTCTACCTCTACCCTAAAGTTAAAACAAAAAGTCAATTAAACTCAAATTTATTTATAGAGCACATTTAAAATAACTGACATTGCCAAAGTGCTGTAGAGGTAAAAATAAAGATGAAAAGCTAACAATTTACATACATATGTATGATTTTAATGTAAAATAAAGAGGTAAAAAGGTAAAAAAATGTTTTAAAAAATGGTAAAAAGGTGCTCTACCTCAACCCTAAAGTTAAAACAACAAGTCAAGTCAAATTTTATTTATAGAGCACATTTAAAATAACCGAAGTTGCCAAAGTGCTGCACGGGTAAAAATAAACATGAAAAGCTAACAATTTACATACATATGTGATTTTAATGTAAAAATAAAGAGGTAAAAAGGTAAAAAATAAAAGGTAAGAAGGTGCTCTACCTCAACCCAAGGTTAAAATGTTAAAGGCCATGTCAAATAAATGAGTTTTTAAAGAGTATGTTGCATCAAAATGTAGTTAATTTATATTCATTTTATATCTACACCTTCAAATAATCATTTGAAAAAGCTAATTCTTATTCAGAGTGTTTGGAAAGAAGCTCCTGAGTGTTCAAAACTAATTAATTTGATGATAAATGGGGGTGTTTGATGTCAAATAAGCAGCAAACCTTGAAAAAGACCAAGTTAATTAAGATTTAGACTTGTACTTTATTGATCCTTTGGGAAGAATCCATCAGGAAATTAAAGTTACCAGCAGCTTACAGGGCAAAAAAGTGGCACAGAGAGCAAAATTAAGCAAAAAAACAAACAAGAAATACAGATTAAATACAGGTACACATTAAATGTGAAAAGCCCCCCAAAAAAAATATATATAAATATAATTTAAAAATTTAAAAATAACTAAATTAAGCAAAAATAAGCAAGGAATAAAAATATAAATACAACGTGAAAATAAAGAAAATATAGGAGTTTGGTGGATAAATTGACCAGTGATATGGTATTGCTCTATATATAAAGAGCTGATAGGTGTTGTGTTGCCTTTAAGTGTCCGTCTCCAAAACGGACACCTGACACCGACATCTACAAATACACACACACACACACACACACACACACACACACACACACACACACACACACACACACACACATTAACACACACACAAATAGCTCCCTTGACCTGGGAATGAAAAGGACGTGTCTGGTGGTGGGTTTTTCTCACTTGCTGCTCGTTCTCCTCCAGCTCAGAGCAGATATAAAAGATATAAAAGCTAAAAATAAATAAGAGGGAAATGTCCGACCAGTCGGCCTTCGACACGGACGTGTGGACCCTGACGCGGTTCATCATCGAGACGGGCCGCCAGGCCAAGGGGGCGACGGGCGAGCTGACGCAGCTGCTCACCGCCATGCTGACGGCCATCAAAGCCATCTCCTCCGCCGTGCGCAAGGCCGGCCTGGCCCACCTGTGAGTACCCGCTCTAGAAGCCATTAAACAGCTCCAAAGACAGCTTTAGAAGCCATTAAACAGCTTTAGAAGCCATTAAACAGCTTTAAATACCTAAAAAAACTGGTTTAGAAGCAACAAAAACAGCTTTAAATACCTAGAAAACTGGTTTAGAAGCCACAAAATCTGATTTAGAAGTCAAAAAACAGCTTTAAAGCACTCCAAAAACAGCTTTAAAACTCCAAAAACGGCTTTAAAAGCCCTCAAAAAGCTCCAAAGACAGCTTTAGAAGCCATTAAACAGCTTTAAATACCTAAAAAACTGGTTTAGAAGCCACAAAACAGCTTTAGGAGCCATAAAACAGCTTTAAAGTGCTCAAAAAGCAGCTTTAAAGCCCCAAAAACAGCTTTAAAAGCCACAAAACGGCTTTAAAAAGCTCAAAAAGCAGTTGTAAAGCCTCAAAACAGCTTTAGAAGCCATAAAACAGCTTTAAAACCCCCAAAACAGCTTCAAAAGCTACAAAAAGCTTTAAAAAGCGCTCAAAAACAA